CAGCTGTATTTGAAGATGATGCTATCGTGTACGTTAAGGGACGCGAGAAACGAACGTGGCTGTGGAACTTGCTTCTGGACGATGAGCGAGAACGCATGTACATCGACACCTTGGATGCAGTTTACGAAGACATCGAATCTTTAACTAATCTTGATGTTACTAATACTATGCGATGTGGACAACATGTTAAGAATTGCGCGTTACAAAATGTATTAAAAATATATAATTAGTGGTTGCAAAAGAATTTTTAAATAAAAATATGTTAACGTATTTATTACAAATTTCTTTTTTCCGTTCCTTTATAATACATGTACTCGTATAAACGTATATGTATAAACGTATATGTATAAACGTATATGTATAAACGTACGTATGAATGTACGTATGTATGTATGTATGTATGTGTTGTAGTGAAGTGTATTAGATAAACAACGCTAGAGTTGATTTTAGTTTACTTTAATATGATTCAGAAAAAGATATATATCGTCGGCAAGACCGTCGTGGTACATCGCCCGAATTATATAATTCCGCAAAAATTACAAGCTCGGCTCGCGCAGTACGTTCGCTCTTACGCGAGCTCGTCTCTTTCGACAACATCGGAGTTTTACAATAGATGTTACGACTGATATCGTTTGGTATATAGAATAAAGAATACTTATCGCATTACAGCAGTATGTATGTATAAACGTATGTACAGGGTGGAGCGCGGGAACTTCCTTTTTTGAATTGGGCGCTGTTAAAGTGGGGAGCGTCATAGAGTGGTGGGGAGCGGCTCAACGGAAGGAGCTGAGTGGGAAGTTTTGTTCTATCATGTTTTCAGTCGCCATAATGCTTTGGTCGAGATAGCATCGCGCTTTTACTGCGGAGGCGTATTTTTCTAACAGCCGCTCGATCGTCGCGGTGCAACATGCCTTTCGTCTTCACTTCCATGTTCCACCGCGAGGTCGTGTTCCTGATCGGAAATCGATTTTAATGTGGGTGGATGCCTTTAGGGAAACAGGGAATGTGTCTAAAATGAAGAAAGGACCTACGAGAACTGTTACAACACCTGAAAACATTGAACGAG